CTGGATGGCCAGTTGAAGCCAATGAAAACAAAATAAAGGTACTGATTGAAGCAAACTGCCGAATAACAACACGTGAAATCACTAAGAGATTAAATTTGTCAAACTGAACTGTTTATGATTACTTGAAATAAATTGGTTTCGTTTCAAAGCTTGATATATGGGTTCCACATGTTCTTAAAGAGAGATGCTCTCTTTGGTGAGATTTTAAGGAAATTTTTTTTTGGAGCTTTTACTAATTTAACAATTGATTCGAAAGTGTACTGCCATCGAGTAAACAAATTGAGTAATATCATCAAACAGAAAAGGCGACCAGAATTGATCAACAAAACAGGTGTAGTGTTTTACCATGATAATGTCAAATTTCACACAAGTTTGGTAACTTGTCAGAAACTGTTATAGCTTAGATGGGACTTGCTATCACACCAACCATATTCACCAGATCGAGCACACTCAGATTATTACTTGTTCTGGTCTATACAAATTTTTTTTAACTGTAAGACATTTACTTGAAATGACAATGTCAAAAATCACTTAGATCAGTTTTTTGAAAGCAACGATCAAAACTTTTGATAAATGTGAAACACGATGAATGTGAAATCATGCTACTATCAGAAACAATGACAACAGGCATTTGACCAAAATAGTTGATATATACAGTCAACCCCTGTATAACGCAGTAGATACGTTCCACTTTATAAGAATTTCACGTTGTAGGAATCCTTAAATACATGAGCCGATCACAGCCCGGCACGTGTGCAGTTTACGGACTACGGCTGTTTGAAAGGTTTTCTTCCATAAAATTAATCAATTCTAGACTAATTTGACTCAACATTCCCAAAACAAGTATAATTTTTTGGGAATAATCCATATAAACTATGCTATAAACAAAAAAGTGTAGGATTACTTACCGAGTGTGCACCGTTCGATAACGCCATTGCTTAATAAGCTTGTTTTCGTCACAGAGCAATGCATCGAATGATAGGCACGTGTTTCCTGATAAATTATTTTTTTGCGAAAACTTTGGAGACATCATTAATATAAAAATAAGTTTTATGGCCGTTAAATAATAAATGGTTTTTAGTAGGTCTGCTGCTCATTTAAACTCAACAGTTTGTGCAATATCCACTATTGGTCTAGATTTGACCAATCCCGTCGCAACACGAGTCGGCAATGACGTTTTACTGCATTATACGTCTCTCTTTTAGCGTCTTTATACGAATATGGTCACAATTTTTTCGCCGCGATATGTGAATCCGCATTATACGAACCGGTGTTATAGGGGGGTCTACTGTAATTCAATAAAATATTTATTTATTATAAAAATGTTGTGTTTTTTCCACAGAAAAAAAACGAACTTACTTTCTGAACAACCCAATAGATAATGTTAAAAAACCTACTTATAACAGTGCCCTGTTTTAATTTCATATTTGAAGCACACCCAAATTTACAAAATTAGATTACAAATTTTATTTAACATAGAAGAAACTGTGTGTTCAGTCCTAAGGTCAGAGTTCACTTCTTAGAATGACTAAGTGGTACTCTCCCCATCTGACTTTGGTGGGGTGAGGTGCCTGTTTTGCCTGTTTGTAGAAGAGGGTCGCCATTTTGTATTTTATTTTGACTCGGTTCTCAGTCCCCTGACTACCTACAAGTCTGGATTTTTTTATGCACAAATGATTTGGGCACCTAATACTCTGTGCCAAATATCAACTCTCAACATGTATTCCTTCATACCTTTATGCTGTTAACATAAAACAGCAGTACGATTTTATAAACAAGACATAGTCTTGTCAAAAAATCACACCACTGACACCAAAAACCAGCAAAATAAACAAAAAAAATGTTTTAACTGTAACTAACATTTTCTTCTATACATAAATGTTATATACAAAGGAAACTTTAGTTACAGTAAAAATTTTTGTTCATTTCGCTGGTTGTTGGTGTCAGTGGTGTGATTTATGAACATACAATATTTTTGAATGAAAGAACATTCAAAATATAAAATAGAATAAACATAAAAAATAAAAATATAAAACAAATATAAATTTTAAATACAATGAAAATTAAAAGTAAATATAAATAATAAAATTATGCAAATTATAATCACACCGTAAAGATCCTGACCAAATCAGAGTTCATAAAAAGACTTCCATACCAATGTATTTTCCAACATCACTGCTGTTAAACTAAAGAAAAGTGTTAATCAGACCTGAGATCATAAGACTACTTTAAAATGGAAAAGGTAAATAAATTACAAATGATAAAGAACTGAGTACTTGAAACAGTTTCAAATGGCTCTGTGTTAATTTCCTAGGGAATAAGTCTCCTAACTAGAAAGGTTCCCAGAAGTTGTTGGATACACATAAATAAATAGGATGTCACATATTTCTCTAACTACACTTTTTCAATTTCCATTTAGATTTTTCTCTCTTATAATCTTGGTGACAACCAAGAGCAATTTCACCAAGATATAAAGCTGATACAGAATTATTATGAAGGCTTCTAGAACAAATTAATGCTGACCAAGTACTGTTGAATGTTCTATCATGATTACCTAAAGAAAAAGTATAAAAAGACAGTAAACTGTACATTTCAGAATTTAATTCAGTATAATTTACATTTCTTTGTAAGGAGTCAAAGTTCGATCATTATTTTGTTTTGGGTGTTATTTTTAGTTATAGTTATTTTCTTTTCAGAATCTTTTTTTTTTGGACAGAAACTCCTAAGAACCCTCCAAAATGTGCTAAATTCAAAAATAAGAATATAAATATACTAATTTACATCAGTGAATATGTAAATAGGGCAATATGAAAGTACACTGATACAGATAAAAGATGACATGCCTGTCAACAGTGTGGTATAGCTCCCGACAGCAACCTTCAAAGCAAACTGTCTGGCATTCTTTGATAAGCAATCAGCTCATAAGAAGTGTAATTTTTTTTTTCAATTATGTTCGTGGAGATTTGATTAATTATACAAAAAAGAATTTCTTTTATTGATTGATTTCTTTTTTATGGAATATTTGAAACATATACTTATTACTAATTCTTGTTATAATCATTGTTGTTTATATATAAATAATACTGTTCAATCTAATAAATATTATCGTGGATTTTTACTTATATAAATGTTATTTTGGATCATTATATTTTGCTTCCCATTAAGTCCAGGGGACCTATTCTTAGCTTTTCCGATAACTCAACAAGAGCAGTAGACAGGACATTTGATAAGTCTCCTTAGCAAACGGCAGTTAACGAACCTTAGACAAATTGATATTCTCTGCTACATGTCAAGTGGGTTTCGCTACAGGTGATTGGTCGAGATGTGTCTGGGTTCCATGCTATTGATAGCCATTATGCTTTAACCAATCACAGTTTAGTTAACATTATCTTCTTGTCACGTGACTGCAACCTGCTGTTTTCCAAGCAAAGTACATGTTTTTAGCATTGTCATGTACTGGCGATAGCCAAATATTTTTTTGTTAAAATGTCATCAAAGAACAAACAATGCAGCCAATGAACTACAACTTGTCAGTTCGAGATATTAGTTAAACAGTTTGGTTCTAGCTGAGGTCAGATTTAGTTATTTTAGGCCCTAAGCCAACTCTGTGTGAAGACCCTTACCATCACTTTACAATTCTAGAAGTCAATCATATAAAAAAGAGAATTAACATAAACATATTAATTTTAATAATAAATGTTTTGTTGTTAAAAAGTATTTGCATTATAAAACAAGGTACAATAAACAAAAGAGGGAAACAATAAAAATTTCATTTGTCATTTTATGATCACTAAAAAGCTACTAAAAGCAAAGAAAAGCTACCTATAAAAATCAAATAAATTTTTTAGTAAAAAGAAGAAATCACTAGAAGTGTAATATAAACAAGATTAGTTATTAATGTAATTAAATACTACAAAAAATAAAAAGTATAGTATAGTTTGTTAATTTGTATTAAAAAAAATTTTTTTATATCAAAATTTTCTTTTTTGTAGAATTTTTTGAGCTCCCTTCAAACTCAAGGCCCTAATTTTCTCTCTCTCCAATTGCTTGTAAAGTAATATCATCCTTACACCTAAAGTTGCCATGTTCTTTTTACTTTCATTACATTCCTAACAGCTCAAGAGTAATCGATAAGAAAAGCTTGGTTATCGTATGTGGCTATTGGAACCAAAAACTAAACATACGGCTCAGAATAGCATTTTTACAGTTAATTGAACACCAATCACGTGGTTCCGATAGAAACTGGTTTTTATCATATTCGTTTGCTTAAGAATACAACTCAGAATAGGTCCCCAGGCCTGGTACTTGATTTGAACCCTAAATTTGTAAGCCCGCCTTTTGTGTCACATGGTACATTACATCCTTTCAGTTCCATTTTTCATTGTGTATCAATTTCTTTTTAATAATGCAGGATTAGACAATTTTGTTATCATTTGTGTGTAGTTACAGCATCTTTTTATAACATCATATCAAAATCATAAAATGAAATATTTATATGATAGAGAAAAACTAAAAGCAATTTTATAATAAGCATGAAAGTTTGTTCAGAAGAATACTGTTTTATTTCTATAAATTAATAAAAAATTCAATTTGTAGACTTTGTAGTGTAATAAATAAAAAACTGATTTTCTCCTTTTTGAAATTATATAGTTTTATGATTTTGGATTAAACATGGGATTAATTATTTTCATATAATTAAACATCTTACTTTAAATTTTAATAATTCAGCGATTCCAAAAAGTTATCTTTCTCTAATTAGCAATTTTGACTAAGGCTACGGTTACTGTGGATGCGAATTCTGATGAAATCTTATTCTGACGAGTTCGTCCGAACAAACAAATACCTGTTTTCCAATGAGAGTGTTTACTTTGGCGGCAAAGGGCATGTCAGAATACACACAATGTAGTCAGAACCATTCAAACTTTCAAACGAGTTTGATTTTTTTGTGCGTTCTGTTGTTGAATTTCGAGTGTTTTGGTTTTTTCAACATGGATATTGATAAATTGATTAGTCTTGTGTTTGAGAATAGGAATGAAACACAAAAACTATCACAACAGAGATAATTGGAGTACTTGGTGATTCTTTCTTCTATCCCATTCAGTATATATTCAAATGTTGGTCTCATTCTAAAATACTCGAAAAACTTTTGCGGGTTGTCCCACAAATCTTGATATAACATTTGGAACTATCCCTTATTGCCTCTTGTGGAAAATAAGTGGTTAACATGCACTGTTTTCTCACCACCTATCAACAATAACTTAATCAACTGACTTTCAAGAAAGTAAAACTCATCAAGTTCATCCATTTTGCTGGGAGGCAGAAACGTACTGACTATCAGAAAACGTACGCAGTGTACCCAGCTTGTTCTGATGAGGATTTTGGATGTACTCATCAGAATTTGCATCCACAGTAACCATAGCCTAATTAAAAATGTTAGTTTGAAATGATGACTTTTTAAAAATTGAAAATGCTAATTCATTAGAAAGAACATTCAATTAAAATTATTCAAATAGATTAAATTATAGAAAATGTTTACTAATAATATTTTTAAAATCATTTAGCTCATTTATAATTTTTATATACACATGTAATCTTTTAAACAGGTATCTAAACTACTTAGATAATAGCTGTGTATACAATGTGTAGATACAAAAATAGATACTCAATATTAACATTACATATAAAGAATATGTTTTCTTAAGAGCTTACTCCTTAGTTATTTTTTTATCTTAGTACTTCCACTTTTATCATTTATTGGTAATAGAAATCTTCAATTTCAATTACATTTTTTTATTCAGCTTCCTTTATTATTTATTGTGTACCAAAATCTAAATTAAATGTCTCAAAATATATTTACATACTATATCAAATTATGATATACCATTTTTTGCTTTATGGTTACATTAAATTGAAACTTTTATTCAAAATAAATTTACCAAGTTCTAGATAAATTTACAGTAAAAATTAAATATTCATAAATTACCATTTCTGAATTTAGTTCTCCCTTTAATACATTAAAAAATAAAATATTTCCTGTAGTAGTACCAACTGCAATAATTTGTTCTTCATTGTCCTCAGATGCTCTTTTTTTCTTCTTCTTTTTATATTCTCTCTGTAAAACAAAAATTATATAAAAAATTAATAATAGTTGACATAATTTTTTAACATTATTATTAATTATTTATTATATGTATAAATTTCTAATGATCTCAAATGCCAATGCCACTGAAAAGTCTCAATTTTGATTCCAATTTTTTTTCAAACATATAATTGGATATAATTCAGAGTGGCAACATAATAGCACTATTAGCACTATCATGTAGTTACTTGCAAGGTTGAAAGATCATTTTCATTCAAACATGTCAAATGGTTTGCATAAATGTTCCAAATGATGAAAACTTATTCTGTTGCCATTTTTTTACCCCAAATGCTATAACTTGAACTATTACATTAGAAATCAATGATATCTAAAAGTAAACTAAATAGATTTATTGCAAAAATTTAACTTTATTTAAAACTCAAGAGTAACTATATGATCAATTTTTTGTTTGACATAATGAACTGGTGGATTAAGACTTTTCAACACAGATGCAATATCAAAATATACGTGAAGACATTAAAAAGGCTAAACATAATAAAATTTTGACAGCAGTTGAGGCAGAAATGTAGTCTACTTCTAATTGTTATTATTGCAGACAATACATTAATGGAGAGTTTAATTTATGCCAAATATAATCCCAAATAAGCACTTTGACATTTCAAAATCACAAGAGAGGAATAGTTGGAATGCCAGCAACTATAGTTTCAGGATGTTATTGTGATGTCTATACTTCTATTTCCTTTTATATAACAATAGATGCTTTATAGCCCTCTTTCAACTTTTTCTACAAATATTTGTGCAATGCTTAATAAAATCATCTTTATCCTACATGAACAGATAATGCATATACCTGCCATAGGAAGAATGAATATTATCTTGTAATTAGTACCACTATTCAGTAACCATACTCATCACATAACTGTGCTACCATATATACATGTTTGCAACCGACAATGCTTCCACTATTACACATTTCACATTGTCTTCATGATACACTTCTGAGTTGGAAAAATATGCATATCAGAATCTTCTGAATATGACAATAACAAACGTTACCATTTTTATCTGCCACATCAGAATGTTTGGAATGTTTGCATGTTAGTTTCAATTTGCTTATTAAAGAGAAGTCGAGGCATGTGGAAGTATGTCCTTGTTTATATATTTTTAACGATTTTTCAAGGCTGTGGAGTCGGAGTCGGATGGTAAGGAAAAGTCGGAGTCAGTAAATTTTTACACCACTCCACACCCCTGGCAAGACTGTGGAGTTGTGGAGTTTTGGTGTTTTAGCCGGAGTCGGAGTCAGATTGGTAAGGAAAATTCGGAGTCGGAGTCAATAGATTTTTACGCGACTCCACAGCCCTGTGATTTTTAATCAAATAGTAGTTAAGAATCTCATGTTTCTATAGGCATATGTTCACTTTCTGGCAATCTCGTGAAGACAAGAGCAAGAATAAGTATACAATTTTTAACAAAATCTTTTGCATGAACAGAATTCCTCACTTAAAGAGTTGCATACTATACAAGCAATTATTTATTGTGAGATCATCACAATACCGGGCTGCAATTTTTAATCATATTTTTAATTTTTTTTAATTTAAAAATATTCTTTCCACCTCAATTTAGTAATGGCTTGCCCCTGTACATCATACTTTTCTTTTAACAATAGAGTTGTGCTGGTTTCTATCTAACACCTTTCAGGGAAAACTTTTTGAATTGAAATAATATGACTTTCAGTTTGCATCAAAAGTTTGAATATAGTTAATCAGGACCTCCTGCCCTTAAGATTTCCACACCTAATCTTGTCTTTCATCTACCTAACTCCATTCTCGAGATTAAGGAAAGACAGATGGACCAAGATTCAGGGAAGATGGATGGACAAATGCAGTGGGAATTTATAGGTCTATAATTTTTTCAAATTGTAGCCCAATTAACACTGAGTAGAACAAAGATGTATTTATTTAGAGAACATTTTTCTATAATTCCATGATACACAATAAAATTCTCAAGACATATTAATCCAAGCTTTAGCATAATAAGAAATTTTTTCATTTCACAAATCACAACTGAATTCAAAATTTCAAGCAAATAAAAGTCAAAAATACACATCGAACGTTTTCGGCCACTAAATTTATCAGCCTTCCTCAGGAAATACAAACTGGAAAAACCATTCTATAAATAGAATGTAGCTGCCTTTTAAATTTTAAAAGAACGAAAATGGCTGTGTCGTATCGTGTATGACATATATTATGAGTCTAGATAGCGTTTCCACGCTGATGATACAGGAATGACATCCGTGTTGATGCAGTTTCCACTCATGCTTGCCTTGTAGATCCCTACTGCTTCTAAAATTTTTATATTTTGCCTGTCGAAAACCTTGCGTATTAGCTTGGCCTGGTCCCAACAGGGGGAAATACCTGGATCGCTGGCATACTATGCTAAAGCCATATTGATGTTACCTTTTAGCACATCATATTTGTGATCTTTTAGTCTGGCTTGCAACGATCTGTATGTGGATCCTATGTAAGCTAGTAATCTGTCAAACCTCTCGTCATATAGGGGGATGTGGTAAATCCCAGGAGCCAGAGCATCTTCAGTGTCGTCCTTTGCGTTTGGGAGAAAGTGAAAAACAATGGATTTCCTTCTAAAGGTAAGGAGTACGTTTAAATTATTTGCAATCTTTCTATATATGCGATGTAATGTCGGTTCATAGTCTAAGATCACCCGATTTGCTTCTGCTTTGTTAACCCTGTTAGATGATTGAGATAGATATTTGGATGCCAGATTGTCAATAAATGTGCGGCCATATCCGTGGTTGTATGCTACCTGTTTGAGATGTTCCAGTTCCTTGTTGGTATCAGACAACCGTGTAGAATGGGAGTAAGCTCTGGCCACAAGAGTGCAGAGTGTGGATGTCTTATATGTCCATGGGTCCGCTGAATTGGAAGGTATGAATAGGCTTGTTTCCTTGTTTATTACATACAGTACATCACCTCAGTGCAGGGTATTTACATTTATTCAAGTGTTGTGCAAATCATGGCTTCTAAAAAAACAGAAAGGTGATTTCAATTGAAACAAAGCAAGAAATCATCAGGAGTGAAAGTTGACAAAAACTTCCTTGTCAAATGGGAGAAGTTTAGGAGTTTACCTACACTCATTACCCAAACAGAGCTGAGGACAACAGGATCAATGACACCCTTGCCCGTCATTTCTGACAGGTGTTGAAGAAGAGAGAGAAACAGACCACCTTGGACATGTTTTTCAAGAAGCCAGCAAGGAAAAAACAAAGGATGGAACAAGAGTTGACCCTGCAAGCTCCGGTAGCCTCTCCTGAATCTGACTCCGATTAAAAAACAATAAAAAGAGACCTGCTGCAATGTGTAAAAAGTCTGTATCTGTATGAATGTGTGAAGAAAGTGTTCCTCCACCTCCTCCTCACAACATCTGACTACCCGGCATAATTGGTGACTGCTCCATTTTCATTTTTTTTTTATGGTACAGTACAGTTATTTTATGCTGCGGAATGAATTATATGTTTTAATATATATTTCTATGGGAAAATGCATTTCGTATAACGGTTTTCACTTAACGGACATGCACCTGGAACAGATTAAGTACATTATACAAGGCACCACTGTATGTGGCATCCGAGAGCTGATATCGTGTGTCCACTACGTATTGCTGCAATGTATCGATGTAGGTAGATCTTTTCATAAGCATGACTGCCTTGCTCTTATCAGCCTTGACCATTGTGATGTTCTGTGATCTGAACCAATTTCTGTTTCTTTCTATGTATTGCCAAAATGTACTACTCTCTGGTTGGTGTTTGTGTTCCTCAATAGCAAATAGCACTTTCCATCTAAGATAATCTTTGTTGTAATCTGGACATTTATTATTTCCAGAAGATAGCAATTTTTCCATATTCGTTATATCTGAGAATGGACTATGTGCAGCAGGCTGAGGCACGAACATCAGACCAAATTGGAAGATCTTTCAGGAGGTGCAATGCTGTCCCAGCAAACTATAACATTGTCGATTTGTGGTTTGGGACATTTCCTTTGCATTTTATTTATCCATGTGATCTTTTTCTCATATATACATTGCAATCTACATCGAACAGATGTTTCTAGATCTATTACAGTTCCAGTTTATGGTGAGGTTGTATTTATTTTTTCATTTTTACAAGGTAAAAAACTTATTTTTGTTAATATGGTATATGAATTAAAATGTTCTTCACCTTATAAAAAATAATTAAAAATTTTTTCTTGTTTTGCTTAGACTTGATTCAGTTTGATTTTGTTATATATAATCCACGGCAAAAAATATGTAATCACTTCATTATGAAGCTGTTTCTGCAGTGATATAAGCATGTAGCAAAGAAATAAAACAAGCAACTGATACAAAATAATTTTGTAATAATACTCAAATATTTTGACTATGTTAAATATGACTTAATTCAAAGTAACATCATATTTAAAAAAAATTACATGCTTAATTTATATCATATTTAGAAAAAAATTTTGGAATCATGCAAAACTAAGGGAAAATTTATGGAATCAGTCAACTTAAATTATTTAATTAATACTTTGTTGCTACAGGTTAAGTTTTTGTAAGTCTTTATGCTTTCAGACATAGATACCACTAGTGAAAAATAATATTTGCTATCAATAGCTTTCCAGCTTTCCTGACTAATAGCAAAGAGATCTGACTTGCAGCACAGAGCTTGTCATAGACTAATTTCTGTAATTTTCAATATGTTTTCTATTGGTTTGATATCTGGATTGTTTGCTGGCCTGTGCAATGTGTTAATGTGCTGTTGGCAAAGACAAGTTTTAACAATTTAAGTCATACAAGATACATTGTCATCTTGGAAAATGACTTCATCATCAAACATGTTTTCAATGAACAAAATATGAAAGTTCTTCAAAACTTCAATGCAAACCTGGGCATCCACTGTTGATGTAACTATAGCCAACTCAGCTGTTTTTTACCTAATATGCAACCCCAAATAATAA